AACATTTTTTCTTGCTTAAAATTACCATAAAAGGAAAATTTTTAACAAAACGGACGCGATCAGGAGAGAGTTTTTATGGGAAAAGACATTTTGTGATTATAAAAAAATATATATGCATATATAAAAAGACTACCATTTCATACTCAGGATTCAATCTATCATGTCATCAATCTTTGTCACCTTTTGTTTCATTAAAAATGTATCAGGATCCAAAAAATATATTAGTGGAAATGCTCTATATAGAGCAACCATTGATATTCAATTTATATTCAGAGAGATTATATTTAAAGGATTCTTAAGAAGTGAAGAAAGTTTGATTGTAAAATTCGAAAAAGAATCGATAGTATTAATGGTAGGATGTAAAGTTTATAAAGAACAATTTGAATATGTGCGTATAATCTTTTGTTTTTGGACTAATAACAATATCTTGTGTATTTTTCTAACTTCCATTACTGCAACAACTCAATCCCTATCATTTATCTATTATTAATTCATATTAACATTAATATTATTTATTTTAAATATAAAAAAAATAATTAATTAAAAAAAAGGTTACCTTGATACAATCGATACCAATTTCTTGCTTTATTTCCAACAATATCAAGCCTACCCAAGATGATCTTTCAGACACGTCTCTATTGCTTATATACTTAGCATCTGCAGTTTTAGACTCTTACATTTCTGATGTAAAAGGTGGTAAAGAAAGCTTTATGGTTTCAAAGAGACTATACAATAGAATCAATAATCACAAGAATATTGAGTCAAAAGTTATTGTATCTTACAGTAACTTCTATAGTTGATACAATGCAATCAAAAATAACTTGAGAAAAACTGTTTTGTCAGTTGTAGGCAGATCAAAGATTGGCACAAGGGCAATGCAACACATATTAGCTTCTAATATTGAATGGAATTATTCTGGAAGTGATCCAGAATCATCAAATACAAGTATGCATAAGAAACCTGATCAAATTGAAAGTATCTAGGAAAGATATCTAAAAATAAATACAAACCCAAAGAAAAAACAAAAGATTAATGTAGTATCAATATCATCCACATTATCAAAGCAATAAATTGAAAGTCATAAATCTCAAGATGATAGTTTCTTGAAAATCATTGTGCAGATCAAAGAAGGAGAATCTATCATTGAGACATGATTCAGGAATAGTTAATTCTGAAAATATTATAATAAAAAGATTTCTAGATTAGTACTTTTTTTTTATCAATATGATAATAAGAAGCTTATTATGTTAACTGAAATTCGCTAATAATTCTTTTTTGTAATCATAAATAAAAAAGTATTAATAAATTCAGTATTGACAATACTGTGAGCAATAATAATATATTTAATTTTTCTATATAACAAATTATAATGTGCTTAAAACAATTTACATTATTATAAAAACTCTCTCCTGAACATATTTGTTTTGTTAAAAATTTTTCTTTTATGATAATTTTAAGCAATAAAAAATGTTTTACACTCTTTATCGCAAGTAAGCCCCAGCTTAAGAACTCAAGAACCTTTAAGACAACTGGTGCAGTGGGATGGGACCTCTGGTCGAAGTCTATTCAAGTTTGGGAGTC